TTTTTAGAAGTGGTTGAGTCTAAAGTATCTGCTGTAGTCAGATGTGAAGATATCTTATTTTGCGTCTCTGAGAAACAAATTTTTCATACCGAATTATTCCATTTTGTTTGATGCGTATAATTAATTTTTATAAAATTTTTCTTTATTTTAAAATAAATTGACTAGTACTTGAAATAAAATAAAGCATATTACAGAACCTATTATCATAAATATTAGATTTATTTACTAAGGAAGGAAAGGATCATATAGGAAAAAAAAGAAGAGAAAAAATCATATAAAAATGCGCATGTTTTATTTTATATTTATTTAAAAGAAAATTGAATTTAGCAGTTCTTCATCATCCTGTTCAGTTTCTTGGTCTGTTATCCTCATTTCGTTTTACCAATGTCGGCACTATATATAGGTATGGATGGTGAAGGTTCAAAGCAAACACTGTAGATTTATTTTTCTTCCAATCATATCGTCATTCTAAGTATAGAATCTAGAAGTACCGAACACATTCTATGCCGGTGTTTGGTTTCGGTTTAAGTAATTCTTGAAAATACCCGTTCTACAAATTGAACTGCTTATTGGAAAGCTTTAAAGATTAAACAAAGCAATCATTCAAACATGTGAAAACACCAGTGACTGGCGTTTAAAACTGTTTGCACCTGCTCTATCACCTCAGGTTTACGAGATGATAACTTCTGTTTAAGCTCAAATAAATTGCTTATTTATAAATTACTTTTAGTTGATACTTTATTACAACATATAAACCTTTTACGACATATTAAAAAATTTCCCTTTGACAGTAGCACAAGGAAATGAAGGAGTGGCAAACATTTCTCAAAATCGCATATGCATAAATTACAGTCGCATAGGTTTGTCAAAAGAAGTGAATTTACGAAAACTCGTACAATCTGGCAGCACTGTGTACACGATGAGCAACGCTATCTTTAGTTATCACGTCTAGTAATAATAGCTTTCTGAATAATTCACAGGAAGTTCAGATTTATGGGCATAATTTACTAGACTTCCGTTCGTTTGAGTTTAGTTGCTTTTGGAAGGTATTTTCTCCATCCTTTCTGCATGCCTTCGTGGTGTAGTGGTTAGCACACTCGGCCACGTATTCAAAAGATCCAGGTTCCAGACCCGGCGACGGCACTGCTCATTTTTCATGTCTCCTGTTTCCAAATAACCTAATAAGCCTACAGTGGAGCCCGAACTAAAAGGTGGTTGATGATGATTCTTTACCCCAAAAATTTGGCGATTGGGTCCCGTAATCGCCAGTCGTCCTTTGAAAGGGGAAGTATATAAGGTATCTTCTAAGGTATCTTCTCCATTCTTTTCTGTATGCCTTCGTGGTGTAACGGTTAGCACATTCGGCACGTATTCAAGAGGTCCAAGGTTCGAGTTCCGGGAAGGGCATTGCTCATTTTTCACGTCGCTCCTGCTTCCAAAAAATCGTAATGACTCTACAGTGGCCCCGAACTAAAAAAAGTGGTGGATAATGATTCTTCCCCAGCAGGATTTGTCGACTGCCTACCGTAATCCCCAGTCGCTCTTTAAAAGAGAGAGCATATAAAGTAGCCCCCTCTTTTCTGCATGCCTTCGTGGTGTAACGGTTAGCTCACTCGGCGTGTATTCGAGAGGTCAGAATTCGAGTCCCGGCGGCGTAATGGCAGACCGCACATTGAGTTGAACAGTGTTAAGCGAATTTCGCTTACTGCGCATGCTTGATGGTGTACCTTTGGCGCGGGGAGAAATATTGGCGAATAAGCAACCCTACGCTAGCTTATTCGTGATCTCCATGGCTGTCGAGTATGTGTTCGAGTGATGTTTACAACTGCAATGTTGTGGAGCTTTGCTTGTTAGTTATTTTAATTGCACTTGCTTACTTTTTCTAATATATGTTTCATTTTAATTTGTCAATAACAGTGCATTTAATATTTGTTAACATATGTTCGTAATAATTTGTTATTTAGATGTAATTTGTTTACATGTTATAATTCAGTAATTGTAAAACTGGAGTTTCTCGCTTAGTATGTTAGCGTATATTCGCGCTTTTATTTTCTCATTTCAAAGAATTTAATAACTAGCATTAAGGAATTGTAAATTTCTTCAGTGTTATTTGCAAGCACGTTTATTATATTCCTCAGTGTTTCTTTATGTATGTACGATGGAACTTTATGGTAAATCCTGAATTGTTTTTATTGCTTAAAAGTATAATGAATAATTTTCAACTAATATATCCTAAATTTCAGTCAACACTGCTTCACATTACTTCGCAATAATTTCAGCTTTCTAGTTGTTTGAGCAGTACAGCAAAAAATAGTATTTTAACACAGTAATTAATTTAACACGAAGATTTAAACGCCAGATTTGTTTACAATCAGATGGCGGTACATCTACCATATACCGTATTTATCTTCTTTTCAAATCGCGCCAACATAGTAATTACGCCAAATTGTTTTCTAGGCATGCGCAGTATGCGACATTCGTTTAACACTGTTCAACTCAATGTGCGGTCTGCCATTACGCGTCCCGGCGAGGGCTGTGCTCATTTCTCACGTCTCTCCTGCTTCCAAAGAACTCCTAATGAAGTTACATTTCTTTTAATCATTTAAATCATTAGGACATTTGCGATAAGATTGAAACTTTTGTCTCATCATTGCTTGCTTATACGCAGCCTAACCGAGCTTTGGAAATCTTGGAAAAATATATTTGAATGTATAAGAAAATTTTAACATATACGAAAAGTAGACACACATTATGCTACATTGTTTATCTACGGCTCTTCATTTTTTATGCATCTCCAAGGGATACTTCTAACCGCCTTGTCGTATACGATAGAGGAGAGTTGCATTAATTGGAATATCGTCTGGGTTGTACTACTATCGTAATTGTCCTGTAATAGGCATTTCCGGCGTAAATTTGGTACTTTAGGCTACGTAAAATTGGCAGTTAGGTAAATTTGACCAAATAATCGTTTACATAAAAGAGCACCTCGAGGCCGCAGTTAGGGAAAAAGTGAAATTCATATAGAAATCATCAATTAAATATTTAAAGATCCATCGTCATGAGACCCTTTTATTATAAGTAGCAAAACATACTGGTACTTACGTATTATCCTGTCGACTATAAAACAGACTCTAAACAGCAGGATGTAACGAAAGAGCACACACAGCTGTGCATACATAACAGCTGTGCTTTCGTCTGATATAACTGCAACTGTTTCTCGACAACCCTGCTTTTGTTTTTATGAACAAGGATATAAATTAACTTTTGTTGCTGCAACTTTTCCCTGCGTTTAGAGCGAAATTATTAAAATTTGGGATCTTCCTGATGAAACTGCAATAAATGCAATAAAATAGGCGAAAAACACCAATAGATATATTTCAAGTGACAATGAAAGCAGTAACAGTGATTCTGCTCTTGACTGTGTGCCTCAGGAGAAACGTTTTTGAAATTAAGGGTATCCTTCACAACATATCAACTCAATGTTTCAGCTGTGCATTTTATACTCAAATTCGGTGATTCAAATTCGGAATTCGGTGTTTCCCGCTGGGAATCCAGTGGTCTATCCAGATAAATCAATTACTTTAATTGGACTGATGAAGAAAATTTTAATATGGTGATTTTTTACTGTTCTGAATTATACTTTTTTTAAAAAGTAAATTGCATTATTTTAAAGATATAAATAGTGAAAAATTGTCCCATTACTTCCTTTTTAATAAAAATATTTCCCTATCCCTACATACTGAAAAATGTTTAGGAGATCCAGACTCAGAAACTTATACTGAACTTTATAAAAATTATACTTATCCAGTTTTTCTACATCAAACTAAAAATTAATTAATAAGAATAGAAAGAAGCAAATGGATTTTGTATTGAGTATAAAATGCGCTGATTACTTCAGTGTGTAATATAATAAATGGTAAATAAAAATGCAGTTACATAAATTAGCACAAAATTTATATTGATTACTTGAAGCCTGTTTAATAAATTTGCTGAATTTAAGAGGGAGGTTTGAAAGTTATCAATATTTTGCTGTATCCTATGAAACTAATACAAAGACTAAGTGATAAGCAGCTGTTAGAGATTTGAAACAGAAATACTGAAGATAAAGGCATCGCCGACTACTTTTAGTCTCTTGAAATTAGGTTATGCATTTATCCCTTCAAATCCATTTTACTTAACTTACCTTGTAGAGACATTATGTATTTTTTTAGAAGAAGGCAAGATGAAAAATTAGCAACGCCTTCACCGGAAATCGAACCGCGGACCTCTCAATTACGCGCTGAGCGTGCAGACCACTACACCACGAAGGCTCGCTAAAAAGGCGGGAGAAATACCTTATATACTCCCCCTTTTAAAGGGCGGCTGGTGATTTTAGGAGATCCAATCGCCAAATCTTGGGTGAGGAGAATCATCATCCAACACCCTTTTAGTTTGGGCGCCACTGTAGAGACATTAGGTATTTTTGGAAGCAGGCAAGATGAAAAATAAGCAAGCGCCTTCGCCTGGAATCAAACTGAGGACCTCTGGAGTACGCACCAGGTGTGCAGACCACCACACCACGAAGGCACGCTAAGAAGGCGATATAAATACCTCATAAGCTCTCCCAAATCAAATTTTGATGTTCAAGCCGTTACATTATTGAAAGCCTAAAATGCAGAAATTGATATCTTTAACTAACTTTTACTAGCATAATAGGGGAAACATATAAGGAAGTTAATCTCGCTTTGAAACATACTTTTCGTGGTTGGAGGGGGGACTTGTCCGTGTACTTTCCAAATAGAATATTGTACTTAACATCAGGTATGTATACATTGCCTACAAAATTGTTTTAGAAGAAAAGTTATAAAACATTTACTGCAGATTTTGTATGAAATTTAAATATCCTTTACTAGTTCCATAATTAGAATAGAATAAGTGGCTGGAATTATTGAACTAGTAATTAATCAATGAGATTAAGTAAAAATACGAAATTACGAGAAAAGTAATTAAAAAATTCTTACAAGCCGTAGAAATTCCTGTGGCTGCCAAAAGAAGCGCTAAAACTCTCAACATCTTTGCAAGTGGTAATCTAAACCTTTTCAAAACGTTGAAAAATACTTTGGTACATGTGTTTTTATTCCCACGTCTATCTGCTAAAATATGTGTATTTTTTTAAGTAAGGACAGCTGGCTTAATTTATTCAAAACAGGTCATAACTTATCATAGTGATATGACAGTATCTGAGGTTTCAAAAAGGATTGACTGCAATTCCCATCCTGTTTTGAAAACTCTATCTTAGTTTTGATTTTAATTTTTAAAAATTACTCAGTTTTCTTGTAATATATATTACATATTTATTCGTAATTTTTTCCCAGTGGCGGGCTGTATCCTTTTATAGGATCGGTCAATACTAAGGCCAGAAGCAGTGGTCTCTTAATTATGGAGGCACCTAATAGGTGGACCACAGTAGCCTTCTGTCAAGCGACGGACAAATTACATCCATGTTTTCACCAGTGTTCGAAACCAGACCTTTCGGTATGGCAGTCATAATCCCTAAACACTTTCCTACCTGGGCGTCTCTTCGTAAATTTTTTTCAGTTACTTAGCTGTACAGCAATAGGTACCATAATAAGAATGAACTAATATGACATTCATGGGAATTCCATTAATTACTGAACAATGAAAAAAATTAAAAGAAAGGGAAAATATAGGCGAAGTTCCTGTAAAAGTAATTTGTTTATAATTGTTACTTTTCGGTGACTTAGAATGCACATGACCAGACGCATGTATATACAGGAAGACCAAAAGAATGTTCACGAGCCCTTCTTTTACTTAAGAAAGAACAAAGTGTATACATTAAATCTGTTTTTAGTAAGCTGAACATGCTCGACCAAATAAAAGCGATTGTAGCCTTCTTAGCGAAAAATTATTATAGGGAATAATGCTTACTATTCTTGTTGTCTGCAAACTTACTTCACGAATGACTGAAGAATTTAATGTCTGTTAGAAGATAATAGAGTAGTCCAATCGAAACTTTAACTTAAATATTTAATGTAGATATCCACAGTTTTTACACACTACGAAAATTGATGACAGTAACATGAATATTTACAGGAAAAACTGTCGCAATAAAAAATAGAAAAAGTTCTTTCATGTTTAGAACGCGTACGTATCTTTTTTGCGTCTTACACATCTTCTTTTGTTATGTCCGCTTAGTCTGCGTTTTTTTTTTTTTTTTTTCACGAAGAAGTTCTATCCAATGGTGTGCAGCGCTATCTATTATTCGTGAGAGACGACATCCTACACATGCTCGACCATCCTCATGGCATGAGTCCTCGCCTGCTGGAAAAAATTGTCATCATCGTCTGGGGATCTGTAAAAAAAATAATAATAAGTTTTGATGAGCTTTGAGTTTTACTGAATTTTGAGTTCCGCTGATTTTTCGACTGAATTCGTAGTCGTGGAATCTCTTCTTCAACGTCGTCTGGATTAGTTTGTCTTCGTATATACGCCTTCTTAAACATCGTCTGGATACATCTTTTAAATGCATCTTTTTAAATTACGTCTGGATACGTCATCTAAATGAGTCTTCTCAGACATCATCTTCCTTAAGCCTTCTTCTTTAAGGCATTTCATGCTTAGACACCATTTTCATTTTTCTTAAAATAGTTCCTGCCTTTAAAACTATAGTCCTTTAGTCAAATCGGGAGAAATTTTTCAATTTAGGAAAACGTCTAAATCAGGAATCATCAGAATCGGTGTTGCACTATCAAAGTCTTTTGGTTTTCTTCCTGAATCTTCTGAATCTGCTCTTTCGCTTCTTTCTTCTCACCTTCTTTAGTTTCTTTTTTCAGTCTTTGCTTTCTGTATCAGCATCTTTTTAATCAGATTTTCTCACAGACTTCTGATTTTTACTCTTCTCCTCTTCTTCGGTGATCTTTTCAGTTTCTCTTGTTTCTTTTATTTGTCTGTTGCAGGGGATGTTACTGAAGGTTTTCTGGTGGAGTTAGCATTCGATCCATCATCCTTAAGACTGACTCTTTCTCGGGACAGTGCTTCTGTTCAGAATCTCCTTCTGAGGTGGCATCTCTCCTCAATGGCTTCGAATCTAAGTGAACCTTTTTTGGGGTTTCTTCTTGTATTAATTAATCGTTCACAGCTTCACTTTCACTCACCAATCTGTAAAGCTCGTAATTTCGTGAGAAATAGTCTTTATATAGCCTAAACTTCAAAACTTCTTTTATAGCTTTTTTTATTTTCATCAATTTCTTGAGGTATAATATTATACCATCTTGAATTGGCATACATACAAAATTTCAACTCAAACTGTCAACATGATGCATGCGAGTACCAGATATGTGTTCGATTGTGTAATCGTAATCTTGTAATATTATTGCCTATCTATATATTTTAGTACAAATGTCTTTCTTGCTCATAGTTTGTTAGAATGCATTAAAGTCTTTCACGATTTTAAACGGAATACCTAGTGCGTACTCCCGGTATTGTTTTATAGCTTCTACGACTGCTTTGACTTAATTCGTAACTTAAATTTTTAATTCGTAACTAGAATATTTATGTTCAATATCCTGCGTCTTCATACTCATAGCAAACTTGATGGATCTTATTATCAATTAAGGATTTCTGTAACAGACCCGCGCCGTAACCGTTAGCGCTAGCATCGGCATGTATTTCCATTTCTACTTTCGGATTATAAATGCATAAGTATCGGATGACGAGATTCGTTTCAATTCGTTAAAAGCATAAAGTTCTTTATTTCCAAATTTAAATTCAGAGTCTTTCTTCAATAAATCATTAAGTGATTTTTCAATTAATGAATAATTAGGTATGAGTTCTCTTAAGTAACTTGTCCAGAACGTATAACTTTGAACGTCTTTTACACAAATGAGATCCAGAAAGTTACTGTTGTAGTTTTAGAAGAAGAAGGATATAATTTCTCATCTTTAATTTTGTGACCTAGAAATTCCTTTTAGAGTTTCAAAAATTGACACTTCTAAAGATATAGCTCTAATCCCTATTCCGATGCAGTCTGTAACACGCGTTTCAATTTTTGGATTCCTTAACTTTCGTTTCCGGAAGGAAGAATGCTATCATCCATGTGGATTGCTACAGTGCTATCTTTTAAAATATCACGAAATGCATCGTAGATATGCCTTTGGAAAACGCTTGGGCTGTCAGCAGAGCCAAAGGGGACCTTTCAAAAGTTCAAACTCTCCGTTTTGCGTTACGAAAGATGTGTGTTTTCTACTTTCTTCGTCTACTTCAACATGAAAACAAAATTTTTTTCAAGTCCTGTTGTGTACCATTGCTGATTCTAGTTTATCAATGACGTCATCCATTTATGGCAGTAGAAAGAGTCGCGAATTATTTTTTATTCAGGCGTCTGAAGTCCACTCACAGTGTGTACAAGACATCCTTCTTTCTGCTTAACATAACATTACTTGATTAATCGGAATAGCCTGACTTGGTAATTTGTTTATCTAATCACTCATCAATTTCATGCTGTTCTGAGAGGGAAAACGTCTCGGCGCACAACGAACCGGACATTTTTCTGTTAACACTAGTCTCATTTTCAGGACAGACCTTTTTATTTTATTCGACTTATAATTGACTAATAACTGTAGTATTTCATCTGGATGTACTCCGTTTTTAATGTGAAGAAATCGTACAGAAAACATGCACCCCTCCAAGTGCAGAAGGTTAAACTCCTAGACGATGCCGACTACTCCCTTCAGGTAAATTTCGTACGCTGGATGCCTGATGCCATACAGAATGATTAACAGTTCCGCGCCACTGTTTTATTGAGATGAATCCTGCTTTACGAGAGAAGGCGTGATCAACATGCACAATGCGTATACGTGGTCGTTCGAAAATTCGCACAGCACTGTCTCGTCCAAAGTACAACACAATTTCGGTATTAACATCTGGGCAGCTATTATCGGAGATCATCTGTTGGAACCATACCTTCTGCCTGAACGCCTCAAGGGCGCAAATTACCTAGTTTTCCTACAGCACATCCTCTCTGATTTAATGTAGGGAATACCGGCCACTGTGCGCCAAAACGTGTGATTCCATGCATGATGGTGCACCAGCACACTTTGTGACTGCGGTGCGTAACCACCTCGATATTACATATCCCGGGAGGTAGATTGGACGCAGAGGATCTGTTGCTTGGCCTCTCTCCATAGATTTCAAGCCATATCAGACTCCTGTGCATAGAGAAGATCTGACAATACGGATTGTAGTCGCTTTAGCAGACATCTCCAGCACACCGGGTATGATTGAATGTGTCCGGCAATCCTTCGTCCGTCGGTGGCCTCAACTTCGATCAATTCTTATAAAACTGTCTCATCGCTTGCTTTCTGATGTTGAACTGTGATGCACTGTAATCCTGCTTTACGTCAAATAAATGCTTTTTACTTATTATTGGCCCTTCTTGTTCCATTCAACGTCACAGTCTTCATAAATAGGGAAGTAGACTGTAATGTGCTATGGCATTTAAAACTGATTTTTCATTCAGTAAAAAAAGTACTTTCATTGTGAATTAGTTCTCAAAAGCCTAAACTTCTCCCTTCCGCAGGAATTAAAACTATAGTTTAGTCGCAAGTTACGCAGTAATATATTTTTTGAGAAAATTTTTATCTCGATATCTATTTTTGGTTTTTATGAAGGACCGTTCTCCAACCCAAGTAAATAGTTGCAGGATTGTCTGAAGCTGTTAAACAAAGCGCGAAATTTCACCTCCGGTCATAAATTATTTTTAAAAATTCAGGATTAATTCGTGCGTTATAACAAAAATAATTGCTGCTTTTGCTCAGCTTCCAAATCTATGTCAGAAGATGTTCGCCGCATTAAAGCAACTGATTAACTGTACAGAAAATTCGTTCGTAAGAAATGATATTTCAGGCGAAGGAAGTCGAAATGTCACTGTAATAAATGCTATCAATTGTTGCTTTATTCGTCGGGGAAAAGCATGCACTCCTGGTAAAGATAAATTCCCAGTTTCGATTAAGTTTAAATTAAATATTTAACCAGGACAACACGCTAAGAACTTTTACTCTTTCTTTTGTTAACTGAATATTTATATATAAGATTGCTT